CTGTTAACTACATGAAATTCTATTAAGAGGCTCTCTGAACATACTATAATATACATAATGTAGATGTTCAGGTTTTTCCAGTTTCTCTTTACAATAGGTGTTACTACACTGAGCATCTTCACGCATTTAATTTCCTCCTTTAAAGAAGGGGTTTTTTAAAGATTTTATTTATTTATTTTTAGATAGAGGGGAAGGGAGGGAGAAAGGGAGAGGGAGACATCAATGTTTGGTTGCCTCTCACGCGCCCCCTACCAGGGACCTGGCCCACAAGCCAGGCATGCGCTCTGACCCCTTGGTTCACAGGCCAGCACTCAGTCTGCTGAACCACACCCACCAAGGCTAGAAATCTTTTAAAAATTACCTTAGTCCTGGCCATTGTGGCTCAGTTGGTTGGAGTGTTGTTCTTAACCAAAAAATTTTGGGTTCAATCCCCTGTTGGGTTGCAAGGGAGAAGGCAACCAGTAGAAGTTTCTCTCTCACATCAGTGTCTCTCTCTCTCACTTTCTCTTTCTCTCTCTCTCAAAAAACAATGAAAAAAAAATGTCCTTGGGTGAGGATTTAAAAAAAAAAGACTTACCTTAATTTTCCCAGGTTATAGCTTCCATTAATTACCAAAGTTACCCCAGGTCTTTTCAAATTCGTGCATTAGAAAACTAGAATCTTTGTGCTTTTTTTCCTGCTATCAAAAATCATGTTTCTTTTAAAAAACAAATTCAAACATTACTGAAATACCTAGCACATCTTCTATAATCAGTGTGCCCCTCGACACTCTCCTTACTCCCCAACTCCATCTCCCCAGGGTAACCAGTTGGCGCATAATCTTTATTTTTAAATGGTTTCCAAAAGTCCACTGGAGAGTCGCGATTGGCTGGTGGGAGGCTCTATATTTTGTTCCTTCATAGGCCAAAGGACTGCAATCCTTTAGTAACCCAGAGTAAGAACATGAGGAAAAATGTGAATCTACACAATATTTGTTTGGTAATACCCCTTTTCTCAGTCATTCTAAATGTCTATCTTTAACTCATTCAAAAATATCTGCTGAGTGCCTACCATGTGCTAGATGCTGTGCTAGATAAGCATATAAGATACAGCTGTGAGCAAAAGTTGCCTCCCCTTCTGGAACTCACAGTCTAGTAAGGAGAGATAAACTGTATTGAATATTAGAAAGTGACAAATGCTATTAACAAAATGTCAAGCTGAGGAAAGATGATTGTTTGGGATACAAGTTATAAATTTAAAATAGTGATCAGAGTAGGCTGAGAAGGTGAAATGTTTAAGTAAAAACATGGAGGAGGCGGAGGAGTAAGCCTGAGCCGTCTGAGAATTCCAGGGCACCTAAGTTTTTTCCACAGCTCTAGGAGCCTGCTATGGGCTTTCTCCTTGGGAAGAGTTGCTGAATTTTCGAAATGCCCCTTCCCAGGCATATCTGTTGATGTGGAAACAGCCTGAGGACTGGAGAGGATCTTTTAAAAAGGCACTTAGTCCATCCCACCTTTGATGATTGCGTTTTCTCCAAGACAGGGGAGGAACTTTTTCACTCCTGGACTTTCTGTTTTAAAACTAACCCCTGGAGCCAGGCCCAGCCTCCTTACAGTTCTCTCTAATCTTTACAGCAGCACCTTTCCCACAGAGGCTTAGGGAAGGGACTTGCCCGAGGTCATACACCTAGGAAGTGGTTAAGTCACATGCCTGGAGGCCTTCTCTACCTTCCCCCGACCCTACCCACGTTTCACCTACCTCACCCCATTTTTTTTCTAGACCGGCATTCTCAAAACTGGAGGACTCCTTTGAGGCCCTCTCCCTGTACCTCGGGGAGCTGGGCATCCCGCTGCCTGCAGAGCTGGAGGAGCTGGACCACACTGTGAGCATGCAGTACGGCCTGACCCGGGACTCACCCCCCTAGCCCTGGCCCAGCCCCCTGCTGTAGGCAGGGCCCTCCTGGCTTCCTGTGGATTGGCACCTTGTTTAGAAGCAGAACAAGCCATCCCTACTACCTCCCCAGGAGGCGAGCAGGCGCAACACCAGGGAAATGCATCACTACAAGTTCTGGGACCTGGTTACTGTCTGTAAATCCAACACTCGCCCAAAAGCTGTGAAGAAGAAGAAGAAAAAAACACCTGGCTCCTGGGCCAGGAGGAGTCTGCTACTCGTGACCACTTGGGAACTCCCTGGGGTTCCAGGCTCTTGCTTCCACTAGTCAGCGTGATCTGGATCTGCTGGGCAGGATTCCAGGGTGAATCTGCCCCTGGGCTCTGAAGTCTCTGGTCCAGCTGGGGACAGGAGGACTTCAAGTGGCAGTGTGAATGAGAGGCAGACTGGTGGCCAGGCTGCAATACAAGGGTGTGAAATGACAGTGGTGCTACCCTCCTTCTCCATGTGCTGCCCTCCCCTGGGCGGGGGTCGAGGAAATAGGTTTGGAAGAGTCCCTCAACTTGTGGTGGAGCTGGCCAGCGGTCAGGGGGAGGGCTGGTTTCTGTTCACCTCCCAGTCCGCTTCAGTGTGGGGGGAAGTTTACACATTGTGTTCTCAAACTGGGCTGCTGGTGACTGGCTGAGAATTTCTGGGTTGGCATCCTTTCTGCCGGCAACAAGTCACCCGCAGTGCAGGAGGCGGCTGGGGGCCAGACAGAAAGAGGCCCTGCCCTCTAGAAAGCCCATGTCCTGGCTGCTGTCCCTCCCCCCGCGGTGGGCACCCCAGTCAGGAGCGTGAGGCGCTTTGCCTAGATCTAGATGAGTTCTGGAGGATAGCATGGCTTGTCGCAGGCCACGGGTGTAAGGCTAGGGGAGTGGGGATCCCAGCAGTCTCTTGGCCTTGCAGCAGCCACTCCTCACCCTTCACCATCCCTGGTCCAGGCACCAGCTTGGGCGGGAAGAGGTGGTGGCAAGTGTCCCAGAGCTTAGATACTGAGGGAGACGCCTCCCGGAGCTGGGCCACCTGGCTTCTACTTCTGCCCGCTGGCCCACATCACTTGCTCCTGGCTGCAGCCTCCGGAGCCACAGCCCTGGGTGCTGAAAAGCCCTGGGGGCAGCCTCTACCTTGGCTCTCAGAGCTCCAGGGACTCAACACAAATAGATTTGCCTCTTCCTAAGCATCTGTGAGCTTGGGCCATATTTAACAAATTGGGAATGGGTTTGGGATATTACTGCGATGTGTGGTGGTTGTATTGGGGGCGGGAGGGAGGAGGTGGGTGGGAATGATTCGGGAGAATGGTTGCTGTTAATACTCTCTTGTTCTGTCTATTGGGTGACATGTGAAACGTTGTTCATAGTCCTGATGAGTTGCGGGGTTAGATGTCATCTCTGGCTATGCTATGTAGACCATACTTATGCGTGGAGTGTGCAAGCTTGTGGGGTTGAGCCCTGGGCTCCCAGAAGCAGCAAGGTCAGCACTGTGTGGCTAGTTGTGCCTCCGCTGTCCCCAGCATACGTGGAAGTGGTGGGCCAAAGTTGGACCGTTGAGCAGACCAAATAAATTAAGCAGTTTATGTAACTGACAATACTGAGAGTGAAAAGTGATTTTGGGCCTGGCTCAGAGAGCTGCATGTGGAGGGTGTGCTGGCCTGTCTGCCAAAAGTGCAAGGCCTCCTTGCTCCCTTCTAGAAAAATGCTCCTGGCCATTTTCAGGTCCAGGTCACAGGACTCCCCGCAGCACGGAGTTCTCCTGTTCCCTAATTCTAATTCCCCCTCCTCATGTAGATACCAGCCTGCTCTAAAGAACATGCACTTCCCACATGAGGCAGCCCCATCCTTGAAGCAGGACTGACTCCCACCTACCAGCTAAGTCATTCCTCTGGGTCCCTACATTGCCACCCTCTAATGCACCTACACTTGCCTGGGTATCCTAGAACAGCAGACCCAGCCCTTTCGGCACCAGGGACCGGTTTCATGGAAGACAGTTTTCCACAGACCAGGACGGGGGGAAATGGTTTTGGGATGATTCAAGCATATGACATTCAAACTCACCTCTTGCTGTGGGGCTTGGTTCCTAACAGGCCACAGACGTACCAGTGGCCTGGGAGTTGGGGACTCCTGTCCTAGAGTCTTTGCGGAGCTGGGTGTCACCCTCACAGTGGGGAAAAAAATGAATGCAAGTTACCCTCACCCCTTGTGTTTCCCTACAAGTACTTGAGAGGGAAAGGCTCAGATCTTGCTTCTGCGCACAGGCGATGTTGTGGAGGGGTGACCGCTGGCGGGATGATGCTGTCTGGCGAGTGGTCATCCTGGGCACAATATAAATCTAGACGTCCAAAGGCGATTCTCCCAAAGCTTGAGGAGTCCCATCTTAAGGGCAGAATCTGGATCCTGGAAAAACATGCTCCAGGGTGCCCTTGGCTGTTAGATCTAAGTGTCCAGGCATGGGCAGAGGTCACACTGAGTGTTCCCAGAGGCTGAGAACCTGTTGCTCAAACCCCCTGCTGCAAGTCCGACAGACGCTCCTACGGGAAGCTGCTTCTGGAGCCCTAGGAGTGTCCCCCCTCTGCACACCCACCCTTCCTTTGGCTGCTGTAGCACAACCACCCACTGTCTTGTTTCCAGCTCCAGCCAAGGGCTGCCTGAATGTTCATTTTAATTACCTCTGCCTCAGAAAGATTGCGGAAGGGGAGAAGATTTACAGTGACCAACTGCCCATGGAGCCACCCACACCCCCATCTTTGCAGCAGCCACTCCTCACCCTTCACCATCCCTGGTCCAGCCACCAACCTGGGTGGGAAGAGACGGTGGCAAGAGTCCCAGAGCTTAGATGCTGGGGAAGACGCCTCCCGGAGCTGGGCCACCTGGCTTCTACCTCCGCTGGCTGGCTCACAGCACTGGCTCCTGGCTGCAGCCTCCTGAGCCTGAAAGATTCTTGGTGATGACTGCAGTTACCAACCATTCAGCTTTTCGCCACCTCCCAGGGACAGCCAGGACCACATAGGTGTTGACAAGGTAACCAAAAGCGTCCCAACGTTTGGGAGGAGTGTTCCTGACACCCCACAAAAACCTGGCAATGTGGAGTCCTCTTTTTTTTAAATTTATTTATGCAAGTCAAATACAGCAATTTCCTGCACTTTTTTATACGCAGGTGTCAGAATGAGGTATATAAAACATGTACACAGAGAAATGCTTTTATAGAAAAGTAGAAACCAGTAATTTCTTCAGCATCACTGAACACCAAGGGACCCCCTGAGGCCTAAGTTCCCTCAGCAAACCACCCCTGGAGACAGCCTGCTAAAGAGAATGGTCCCCACTAACCCCACTCTCCACATGGGGCAGTGGAAGGGCTTTGGGGAAGGAAGCTCTGTGGATAGGGAGCATTGCTAAGGCCTCCAGTGTGACATCAGGACTTGAAGGCCCTGCTGAGCGGCTGGCACAGTGCAGCACAGTACCGTGGGGAAAGGTACTCCCCTTGGCCATGCCTGTAACTTTCTCTATGATCTTAGGTGTCGCTTTCCCCCTCTGTGTCAAAAAGGCTTGAGGAGCCCTAAGATCCCTTCAAATGATTCTATGACTGTTTTACAAGGCAGGGGTTGTGACGCTAGTTCTGTTGCCCTCACTGGAAGGCACTGCCTGAAGGCCACACAGCCACCTGCGAACCCAGGTCACTGCAGGGGCAAGCCCTGCGGCACTTTATTACCTTACTTCTGAGGTTCATTTCCAGGTTAACCTCTCAGAAGCAGCTCACAAGGCCCCCCAGTATAATTCCCGTAGGTTAGCTGGCTGTTGTCTTATCCTTACAAAATGGAGAGGTCACTGTCTACCCTGAAGAGACTGGGGTACCTCAGGTCCACCTCAGGTCCTGTGGCCTAAGGCAGCCGCGGATCCTTCTCTACCCTCTTCCTAAGTGGAATGTTCAGTGTGGTTCTTCCCTTCCTTTCCTCTCCAAACAGGAAGAGTCCCTGGGCCCAGGTCTGGCCCGCTTTTGTCAAGGCACATCACGGCCAGCAAGCTGGAGCTCACCCAGTAAACCCCAGCCTAGATCCCATTCTCAAACCACAGTTTTGACTTTTGTACAAACTCATTTCTGGTTCTGAGAGGTCAGGAGGGAGTTCCATCCCAAATATTTTTTAAACTAAATATATTGTTTAAATGCTGCCTCTTGACCTGCTTGACCTCAAGTATGAATAACAGTGTGCGCCACTTAAGCCCACAGAGAACAAACGGAAAGGCGGAGAACGAGGCCACCTTAGGTAATACAGCACAAAGGAGCCGGGGGACGCTCCCTGTCCATCCCTGATTCAGTCTGGGGCACAGGCAATGGTTGGAAGCCCTTTTCGGCAACACTGCTGTGGGGGCTGCCACTGTCTCCACCCACGGGCAAGACCCTGCTCCGAGGGATGGAGAAAGAGCAGTGGTGGGACCCTACCCATCTTCGCCCTCAGCCCACAGCACCACCTGCGTCTGTCTGAGGATTTCCCAAAAACAAAAAGAAGAAAAAAAGTCAGGGGAGAGTTTTAACCACAACAAAAAGTGTAGCTCCTCCCAGCTGTAGGAGGGAAGGCCAGCCTGCACCAGTCCCTGCATGGGCTCCTGCCCACTGCGGGGGTGCTCAGGCCCCAGGAGTGCCTGCCTGCCCCATCAGAGGGGCACTGCCCTCCTGAAGGTCGACTGGAGTCTGATTGGTGTGGACCACAACAGTCTTCTCATCCACGATCTCACAGGTGGCGTTGGTGAAGGCAGACAAGGGTAGGGTGATGCGCTGCATCTCTCTCTCACACATTTTCTGGTCATGCTGCTTTTTCAGGTCCTTCCCCCTGGCAAGAAAAGAGGGAAGTGTTCAGGCTGTGCCTCCTGCATGGCTTTGCTCATTAGATAGCATCTCTGAGGTCCAGGCGGGGCAGGAGCTAGCTGCGGTCACAGTCAATCAGTGGCTGATATGCTAGATTTCTGTTCTGCCAGAGGACCTGCCTTAACTCAACAAGGACCTGCTACACCTCTGGTCTCTGTTTCCTCTTCTGTAAAACAGAGATAATAGTAATATGAACCTCTCAGAGCTGCACTGGGGCTCAAGGAAGAGAATATAGAAGAAAGAGACTCTCAAAGCAAGATATAGTTTTGTTCTTTCAGCCCAGGACTCCAAGAGACCCAGAGAACTATCTCAGCCCTAACCCAGGAAGTCCAGAAAACGGACCTGACCATCCTGTCCTGAGACAGTCATCTTGTCTCAAGTCCCAGAAGGTGTGACCCCAGCTGGAAACACAGACTGTCCCCAACCCACGTACAAGGCAGAAAGGACTCTGAGGGCTGCTCAGGTCAGGGGGAAACAATGAGACAATGACCATCAGACCCCTTAGTTTTCACACACCTCAGAATTCTCATAGTTCTCAGTGACCCAACCAGGGCACACGGCGTTGCCCTATTTACTCACGTGGAGCACTTCATTCTCTGCTGAACCCTAGGAATTAGGTCTTAGCATTCATTTTATAGATGAAGAAAAAGCCCAGAGAAGTTAAGGAACTTTCCAACCACATGGTGGGCTCAAACCAAGGACTGTTGGACTCTGATACTCAAGAGAAGTTAAGAACTGATCAGGGTCACCCCAAGCAAACGGTGGGGCAGGGACTCAAACCCAACGTTCTGGCTGCACATGTAAGAACACTGGACCAGGCTGCCTCCGTTGCAGGCCAAAGGGTTTGGTGAGTCCCTAGAACACTGCGCAACAGAACCAGCACCCAGGACCCAGGTAAGCATCCTCCAAAGCCAGCAACTAGACACACAGGCTCAGCTGTCAGAAGAAATCTTCCTGGAAGGAGCCCCCTTCCCCACAAAGAGGCCTCGCAACAGGCAGGTGATGGATGACTTGATACAATACAGGCCTGTTTCCTTCTTCAAAACTCCTGGGGGAGATGGCTGAGATCTGATGGATGATGTACCTTCATGATGTGAGGAGCAATGACAAGAGACTGGAGAAGAATACTGAGAACATAAAGGGCTGGAAGGGCAGGAGTTTGTACAGGTGCCTCAGAGCTGTCTTCAACCAGCTCTCTTTACTTATGTTCTAGTACCAGCTCAACCTTAGCTGTGGGACACTTGGCAGAACAGCCTCGCTGAGCCTCGGTTCCCTCATCTGTGAAATGGAGATTATATCTATCTCAAAGTAAAATAATGAATGTGAAAGCATTTCAAAAACAGTGGAACTGCTATAAAATTCATAGAAGGCCCTGGCTGGTGTGGCTCATTTGGTTGGGCGTCATCCGGCAAACTGAGAGGTCATGAATTTGATTCCCGTCAGGACACATGCCTGGGCTGCGAGTTTGGTTCCCAGTCAGGGCCTGTGCAAGAGGCAACCAATCGATCTTTCTCTCCCTCTCTTCCCCTCTCTGTGGAATCAGTAAAATTAAAAAAAAAAAAAAAAAATTTTAACTCAGAGAATGTTGTTATGATTTGCCCTGAGTATGACTTGACTCACCAACCATTGTTATCTTACTCTGATTTCCCAAGGAAACACTCCTACTGACCAGCCAAGGCAAATATTGTGTATGTGACCTCAGCAACTCCCCTCCTCTCTGAGCATTAATTTCATCACCTTAAAAAAAAAAAAAAAAGGAGATGGACTTGGGTTCCCTCAAGGCCCCTAACATCCTGTGAGATCTCTCACATGACAGCATACTCTGCTTCTCTAGTCTTCAATGTAAGGTCACAGAAGGCAAATCTCTCTGGGTCACTGAGTTTCTGAAGTGAAAGCCTGAGGCTCTTGCCCCATCCTTCTCATTAGTCCCTGCACAGGACACCACTAACTCCCACAGCAGAGTAACTCCCCAAGCACCTAGACGGGAAATGGAGAGATACAGAGGCAGGGTGTCTGGACCGAGGCACCCCCACTCACAGCCTGAGATTCGCTCTGCCCTTGAGTGCTGCTCATCAGTTACAGCTGCGGCCACATAGGATAGACCTACCTCCATTACGAAACAAAAAGCCAGTTTCACCCATGCAGGGAGAAACTTTAAAGGTCTGGGTTTAATTCCTTTTTAAATTTTATTATTTTTAGAGAGCAGAAGGTAGGGAGACAGACAGAGAGAGAGAGAGAGAGAGAGAGAGAGACATCGATGCCTGAGAAACACACCCACCAGCCACCTCTCACACACCCCTAACTGGGGGACCCAGCCCTCAACCCAGACATGCGCCCCGACTGGGAATCAAACCAGCGACCCTTCGGTTTGCAGGCCAGCACCCAATCCACTGAGCAATACCAGCCAGGGCGAAAGGTCTGGGTTTAATTTTATTAAGGGAGCCCCCAAACCAGCAGAGGACCAAAAAGGAATTTACAAAAGTGTAGTATGCAAATATTTTTGGCAGTCCTCAATTTCAAAATATAAGGGTCTGAAGGAAGAGGGTACTTCCTGAGGACCTACCGAAGTGCCAAGAAATCGCCTTCCCATCATCCAAAATGAGAAGAGCTACCTATGTACCTCCTGAATGCCACACACTTTATGTATATACCATCTTTGTTTAATTTCTACACCAACTTTGCGAGATAATACCCATATTTTGTAGATGAAGAAACTGAGACTTTGCTTTCCTCAGCAACCTCCTTTACCAAACACCTGGCTATGGCCAGCTGAGCTGTTGATAATGATCATGGTGAATCATACACACCTTCACGGGTAAAAAATATCAATTTCATATTAATGGGGCAGAGCAGGGCTGGCAGAGCAGCCAAGGGTAAAGGATGCAGGTGCTGGGACTCATCTGGACTATAGCCTCATCCGTCTCGAAGCCACAAAGCACACCCAACCCCAAGTGCCTCCTGTTAACAGTGCCTGTGAGTCCTGGGGATGCAGTGGCTGCCCCCAGCTCACCTGACGACCTGAGAGAGGCCACCAGGTCTGCTGCGCTGACTTCCAAGCAGCTCTGTCCTTCCTCGCTTTCTTTTGGTGGGGGGCAGCCAGGCTGTTGTCTGGCAGCCAAGAAAGAACAAAGGGCTTATTCACTGGCTCAGCTCCTCTCCTAAGGGGGCAGAGTGGTGTTGACTTACAGTTTTTCCCTTGCCCTTTTTTTTTTTTTTTTAATAAATCAGAAAATAAGCATTCCCTCCAGAGCTAGACAGTACAGCCACGATGCTTGGGGCAGGAATAGGGAGCTGTAGACTGGCCTTGTGGCCTAGACAACCAGAACAAAGACCTGCCAGCCTAAGCCTTCACCCACCCCCACCTGCCACCCTTCTTCCCCTGAAAGGAAGCTTGGTGCCTGCTTGCCCTGCCCTCCCCAGCCAGGGGGAAAGCTGCATCCCATTACCCTCACTGCCGTTTGGCAGAGTTCAAGGCTGGCAGTAATTCTATCCCTGACGGCTCCAGGGCCAGGTTCAGGAGCTGCGCTGCCCAGAGAGAGCAGGTGTGGATGAAGATACTCTTTGGGAAGCGGGGCGGACAGAGGTACCTCAGACCTCCTTCAAGCAACATAGGTTTCTTCAAATTATTCCGTAACTCTTGAGCCACGGCTCTTTTCCCAGTCAGAAGCAGCGCTGTCCCACGCTGCTGCTCAGAAGTTCTTCAAGGCAGCTAACTGTATGCCCAAATGACACTGTGTCATTCCATCCTCACAACTAACCCGTATGTTATCTATTAGGATTTCTCTTTCAGAGACGGGAAGGCAGATGCAGAGAGGTTAATCATTATTCAAGCAAATGGCAGGTTTGACCCTAGTAGTGCCTGCAGCCACCGTCAGGCAACAGCCTTTTTAGGAAATATTAGAGCTGGGGGGGTCACCATAGCTACCTTCTGCCCCTGCGCCATTTTACAGATGCAGAAACTCTGACAAAACCAGAGATGGTCCAATGACTTGTCCAGTGTCACACCCAGAATCGGTAGCAGTTCCAGAACTAGATCCTGGTTCCTTTGACGTCTAAACTCAGCTCCTTTATTTTTAATGTTTTTATTTTTCCTACTGTCCTTTGCAATTCAGGGCAAATTTGCATGAAGCTACTTAGTCTCTCTGGACTTTTCGGAAATATTGATAATCCTTAGACAAACCTCATTGGCTGTGTAGCTTGGACATTGCACTTAACTCCTCGAGGGCTCAGCTCCTCACTGTAAAATGGTGTAAAAGTGATCCTTCTAGCGTGATCATGAGGCTTGGGCAAGATCATCAGGGAAGAACATTCAGTATAGCCTTACTTACTATTAAGAAACATGCAATAAATGTTGGCTTCTACTGCAATTGTTTAACCTAATTGGTGTTCTACTGTTTACATTTAATATTTATTATAATAACCTTGGGTGAGAGGGTGTGGAATTGTATGGTGTGTGTGGAGGATATATCCCCACTTAACACTCAAGAAACCGAGGTGCAGCTCTTTCCAGGACATTCTATTCTCTGCATCTGAGGGACAGCCTGTTTAGCCCACATACGGTTTCCTGTTTTCTAGTCTGCAAGAATACTTTTGTGAGGAAAGGTGGTTAGTGATGAGGAGTCTTGTGACTCAGGTGCCTCGCTCTGTACAGGAAGGTAAATTCGGGGCAGTCTCATGACAGCCTCGAGGAACAAATCTAGAAGAAAGGCCTGACTTCCCCACTGGCATGAGAATTGAGCTCAGAATCAAGAAGGTTTAACCACTTCAAGCACCTGGAGGCCTGGACACTGTCACAAGATTGAAGAACATTCAACTGCTACGCAGCGGCTAAGGAAGGAGGGCCCACCTCAGCCAATATGGTTTGGTTCTGATTAGGAATTGTAGGCCGGGGCCACCGCAGCATTTCATCCAACTCTCTGAAGTAAATAACCAGGTGTCCCTGGACCTCCCACGTCAACAATCCCACTGGGGGCAAAAACCTTGGACTGGGACTCAGGAGACCCTCTCAGGTCAAATCTGCTTTCTGAGTTAGAAAAACAGAGAAGGAAGAGGGCTGGGCTTGGAGGATGCTAGTACCGCACCCACACTTTACAGAAAAGAAAAACAAGCTATCGTTTATGAACGTAGAGCTAAGCAGTCACATGCTTTAGCTACAGCAATGATCTGCAGGAGGACATAGAAGCAATTGGTCCAGAGTCAGCGATAGCTTCTTAGGGGCAGGGCTAAGACTTGGCCTCACCGAATGCTAGGTGTGTGACCTCAGGCAAAGCATGTATCCTCTCTTGCCTTGTTTCCTAATTTGTAAACTGGGGATAATAACAGCATTTGCCTCATAATGGTGATTGTGAGACTTGAGTTAAAGTATGCAAACTGCTTGAAGCAATGTCTGGCATGCGTAATTGTTCCCTACAGCTGCTATTGTTTTTTTATTGTTGTTGTTGTTATTGTTAATACCAAACACTTCTTCTTTTCCAGCAGTAAAATGAGGTGATTGACTATATCACCCCTAAGGACACTTCAGATGTACTTAATGCTGGGTGATCCACTGGATCCACTGGGAGCTATGGGCTCAGACACGGCCCTCGCCACGGGAAAATGCAGGACACCCTTTCACTTCCCTTACAGAAAGCCTTCTCGGTCCAGGAAAAGAAATATGACACTTAGGGCTAGAAGTCCTGATTTTGCCCAAGGATGGCAAATAATTTTCCCAAAGTCAGACAGTCCTGTAAAAAATTAGTGCAGCTCTAGCTAATGATCATGCACCAGTCACTGACCTCGACAGCTTTTTCCACATGGTATCTCGGGGGCCCTCTCAAACTAAGCATTCCTTTCTCCTGCTGTCCCAGCCACAGTTCCGTCCCTGAGTTCCCCAGGTAGTCTCTTAGGCTTTCTGAAGTGTGGTGGGGTAAATAGGCTCTGCCCTCCAACTCACTTTTTTCTTTCTTCCTAGAAGACAGCCTTATGACTCAGGAAATTCAAACCCCAATGGCAAAAGTGGTGGGTGGGAATCTTTTCTTGTGGCAGCTTTTTATAACTCCCCCAAACGTTCAATCTTTGGGTCCCTGCAATGAGTTTCCAGCCTGATTTCTACAGCGTCACTCATTTCCACACCATTAGACATTGCGGAATTTTGCATCAAAAAAAGGTGGGTTTGAATCCAGGTTCTGCCACTCCTAGAGTGTGACCTTGGATGAGTCACTTCACCTCTCTGACAAAGGTTTCCTCATCTGTAAAATGGAGAATAAGAACCCCTACCTCACAAGGCTTTGGGGTGAGGAGTAAAGACACCAAAGGAAAGGGTTTGTCCTAGGTCACTGTGTAAAGACTAGAACCAAGTCTCTACATCTTGAGCTGGCTTCCCTCTTTCAACACCTCACTTTCTTTTTGGGTAAGAATTCCACAAAGGAATCTGATTTGACTCTGTATACCTTCCTCCCCTCCTGGGACGGAGCCCAGAAGAGAAGCTACTGACCTTTTGTAGGTGTATCCCACGATGATGCCAGCTCCGACAGCGATGATGATCACAATCATGGTAATGCCCAGCACGTAGCCTGCCAAGGACAGGACACAAGGCCCCATTAGCCTCACCCCAGGCAAGCTGCAAATATCTCTTCATGAATCCAGTAAGGGCAGAGCGGAGCAGTCATACCCAGGGTTCCGAGGTCCTTTTTCTCCTTGGAGTTCACCCGAACTCGCTGGCTGATTCCAATCACTGGCTGCACAGCTGCTGCCTCGCTCCCGGCAGGCAGGGCATTGGCAGGAGCGAACACCTGCACCTCATCACCACTTGGCACTTCAGATGTCTCCTCAGCTTCCCTCATGGAGGGTGACAGGTCCTGGGAAACAGTCTCTGGAGGTGCAGTGGGAAACAGCTCTCATCAGAGAGTGGCCTGAGTGAGTTCCACCGCTGAACCTGTCCTTAATGTTGGGGGACATGAGGATCCACCTTAGATCCACCCACACTCACTGAAATTAAGCCCTGCCCTAGGGGCAAGACCAAGCCAGAGAGTGCCACACAAGAGCTGGGACACGGCAAAGGTGAAGGGAAGACCATAAGAAAGGACCTCTCCTGCCTCCCCATCTTCCGCTCTTCAAATCCTTGCTATCTTCCAAGGCTCAACTCAGTTACCATCTTCTCCAGGCATCAATCATGACTCCTCTAGGCAGCTCACATTTATTGAGCCCACGCTTTTGCCAATCCCTATGTTATATGTTTTCATATTTCATTTAATCCTAGAAAACTGATTTGCTGCCTCGGGACCAACAAGCCTGCATTCTAGAATCTAAGAAACTTGAACTCAAATCTGAACCCTACCATTGCCTTCGTAAGTCACTTAACTTTTCTGAGGTTCAGATCCCTCATATAGCTTCTACCGGGGGCACTGTAAGGGCGTCGGACGCGGGACGCGGGCCCCTGAGGCTCCCAAAAGCAAAGCTCAGGAGACCTCCGGCACCGGGAGCTCGCAGCTCAGGCGCTGGGCCTCCCGCCCTCGGTTGTTTACTAGGCGCTGGTGGAGGATGAGCTCACTCCGAGAGGCGGCGGCCAATGGGCTTGGGGTCCCGCGGCCCGGAGACAGTACTGGCCAATCGGACGGCGTGGGCAGGGGCGGGGCCGGCCGGCGTCGTGCGGCCGCACGTGCGCGATAACTAACATCCGCTCCCAGACAGCCCTGGTCCTGGGGGTCCAGGTGGGTCCTGGCGGGTACCTGGGCAGCGCAGGCCTTCGCATCGCCGCTTCTCCGGGGTGCCGGCCTTGCCGGTGACGTAGCACCAGGGTCCGTGCGGGTCCTGGTCCGGATTTCGGCAGTAGCTGTGGTTGCCGGCGCCTGGCGGGGGAGAGAAGGCGCCATGGGCCAGGGCCGGGACTGCGGCCGCTGCCCGCCCCCCGCCCGGAGCGGACACTCACCCGACTCGGGGGCAGGAGCCGGGGGGCTCTGCGCATCTAGCCAATTGAGGCACCGAAGGCCTGGCGCGGGGGAGGGCTGGTCCGCTCGGTACAGTTGGCCGTTGTCCCAGAAGCAGCCTGTGAGGAAGAGGAGTCCCCCAACACTGATGGGCGAGCAAGGGAGCCCGGGTCACCTGAGTTGAGAGACCCTGGACCCTGCTGGGCTTTCCTGACTCGCGTGGAAAACCCTTCCAGTGCCTGGAACCCAATCTTTTTTTTTTTTTTTTTTTTTTTAAGCCCCTGAAAAGCACTGCATAAGTGCTAAGGGTTGCTGTCCTGGAATTCGTAGCCCTTGTAGAGGAGAGTGCGGGGAAGGCCTGGGTGTTTTGGTTCGATGGGCGGCCAGGCCTGAAATTCATCCCTGTGTTGTAATTCCATGTTACATAAATTCTGGTGTTCCCGTCTCCGCAGATATGGCCACACTTCTATAGGGAACATACTCTCCTGAGAGAATTCTACAAAAGCCTTGATTTATTCAGGCAAAAGAGAACCTCAGACGGAGGGTACCTGCGTCATCTGCTGCTTGGATGTAACTCCAAATTCCCACTCCCCTCTGCAGGAGAGCCATGGGAGAGGCAGCGGGAGGAGGGCTGTGTCTGGCCACACCAAGCAAAGCCTCAGAAAAGAACAGGACTTAGGCAGTAGGAGAGATGAACCCCCAAGTTCCATCCAACCATGAGCCACAGGCAAGGAAAAGGAACAAGAAAGTGGCTATTTGCCTTTGTTCTTAATGGCAAAGATGGAGCTGCAAGCCCCTGGCAGGGAAAAAAAGGAAAAGAAAAAAAAAAAAAACCTTTCAGGGGACAACAGAAACTAGCTAAAAGCTTCCTTTCTTGTCATCTTCCTGTGTAGCCTGGCCTTGCTTGGGAAATAGGGAGCTTTACCGTCTGTGCTTCATTAAGTTGCTGCAGAAAGGAAAGACTGTAATCTTACCTCCAGATCCATAGACTTCAGCTAGGAGCATGTTGCTGACGAGGAATGTTTGCACCCAGGCCAGCAGCATCCTCACCACCTTCATCTTGCAGGTGATTGACCAACCGGGGTCCCCTCGGGGGCAGCTCTGCCTCCAGGTCCCAGCCCTGCAGTCAGACCTGCTCTTGTTATACTCTTCTGGTAAACAACCTCTCTTTAGAGCTGGGAGCTTCCTAGCTAGCTTTTGCAGCGAGATGTTTTCCGGCTGAAAGGCATCCCCTGGGTCCTAAGCTTCCTATGCCATGCACGATCACTAACCCCGAGCCTAGAGAGGAACTCCGCCTCTTGAAGAGAGGCAGGGAAATTCAGCTTGAGTTTAGCCGCGGATTAGTTTGAGACCTGCACTGACTGCATCCCCAGGGCGTTTCATCTCTTCTGCTTTTATTTGTGTGAGTACAGAAAGGATAATTCTGTCAAGAGGCATCACTGCGGGGAGGGTGGAATTATAGTCATTAAGGCATAACAATTTAGGGAGGACATGCTAGCCACAACAACCGAGAGGAACTCAAGACCACAGAAGGGGCACAGATAACAGGATCCAGGTGGAAGTAACTCTTTATACCCCTCCCTGAAAAATAAAAATGGCTTTTGTGGGTTACACATGTTTATATGAACACTTTTTTTTTTTTTTTTTTTGAACAGTGTAACTTTTAGCAGGCTCAGATCAATCACATTCCTTTGCTTATATTTAGAGTTTGGGATGTCCGATATGGTAAGAATACAGAAGGGGTCTCTTTAGTTAAAAACACATGTTATGCAAATATTGGGACATTTGCTATATTTAATAGTCTGTCCTTTCTACTAGCTCTAAACTCATATTGAGGAAATTAAGTTAAATGTTTGCTCCTCCCACCCACCCTGTGGGAAATCCGTTTGCAGTGATTTATATCCATCATTAAACCTCACCACATCCATATGACTTAGGCCTTTTAGAGTTAGGCAGAGGGCCCTCTTCCTGTTTGGCTGACAGTTCATGTTCCCAGGCAGCCTCAGTAAACTGAGAGAGAGAGCAGAGTGATGTGCCAAGACTACCCTGTGACTCAGGCAACTCTGAATATAGAAATGAGAGACTTGTTTTCCATCTGAGGGCTTTCATCTTACAGGCAGTAATTTAGGGGGGGTGCGGCGCAGGGGGGAAGGGGGTGGACGACTTTACTAAGCATTTTGAAAGTTTTATCAAGGAAGGAAGCTAATGTCAATCCAACAAATCTGAAGTGAATTTGAATTCATTTCAGTCGGGTTTCAGACATGAAAAGAACAGAGGGATAAATTTAGTTTACTCTTTAGATAAGTTTGCTGACAGTGTTTGATTCCTTCAGTCCTTTTAATAAGATATGTTGCTTTGTTTTGCAATCACTCTCCTACCTCCTCAAGTTTCTGGTCCTCTGACTCCTGACTTGATCTATCCTGGGAATCACACCACAGAGCCTGTAAGTTTACTCTTCCTCACACATAGACACGGATAGGCTAAAATTTTAGAATTTAACAATTCTAACAATATTCAGGCGTCTTTTTTTTAACACTTTTATTAAGTTTACAAATTTGCTGAGAGCCTACTACATGCTAGAGATAGTTCTAGTTAGTGAGAATATATCTAGTTAGTGAGATTTAAAATATCTGCCCTCATGCAACAGATATTCTAGTTGGGAAAGACAATTGATAAATGTGTAAAACGTCAGGTGGTCTCTAAGTGGTATGAAAAAAAGTGAAACAGTAAGGGAGAGAGTAACAGGGTGGTATTTCACTTGCTAAAGAAATCTTAACACTCTTTTCAGGGAACCAATAAGACATTTCTATAGACAAAGGCTGAGGGGAAGGGGTTTCTTTGCACAGCTTTCCTTGCAGGTCCTCTGACACCATTGCAGGGGATATATGATGTTATTTTGTTTCATTACCGTAAATATATGGGCTTTGGAAAATGACAATACAGGTTTTAATTTCAGAGTAGCGGGTTCTTTTGAATTGATCTCTCAGCACCTAATCCATTGCCTTTGTATGCAGTGAGTGCTCAATTATTGTCTAGCAAAATGCTCCACCTTACTCTAAAGGGCTATGTCTGCTAGATTAGAATCCTTTCCTCTCTGATTATGATAGAGACAGGCTGTACACAGGCCAGCACTTGTACCATTTTCAGATTATCTACTGTGCCCATATCAGGGTGCTGGTATTTCTTCATCAGAAGCTCAAAGCTTCTCTACCTCTTGCTATCATTTAATTTTCCTGTCTAAGAAACTGCTTTCTTCTCTAACCTACACACCTTAATATATAGCAAAACCATGTTTTGTGCCGTGTGTCCTGTGAGGAACAGCATTGCCTAGAAAAGATAGGAGGGCCTAAGGGAGGTGTTTTTTCAGCTTAGTTATCTCTTGCCTTTTCTCTCCTATAACTAGTACATTTATCAGTGTAATTTTATTTTTTTCCAGAATGATGAGCTTGTTACTTAGTCCTTCCTAGGCATATTCTAACAGGTTCAGTACCTTCCTTAGGGAAATCAAGATTGAGTTTAGAGATGCGACTGTCATCCTCATTGGTGATGTTTTGGTCTATTTCTCATGATTCAGGTTTGAACTTTGCTTCATATGTTGGTACAATGTGGCTATGTTTTATGGCGTATGCTTACTCCATACTTCAGATTTCTTCTGGAAATATTACTATGACAATAATATCATGACTCAAATACTGATTTGGGGTTGTTTATATTCCTGAAGACAATTCTGTGAAGTATAATACTCATTTTACTAAATATTGCAGGGATGTTTGGCCATCAGTTTCATACTAAATCAGTGCTAATGCAGAGATAAAGCCATACTGTTAGCTCAGGAAATAGCCTCCAGAGCATTTCCCAAGAAGGATGGGCAGTTCACTTTGATAACGTATTTTAGTGGAAGGGTTCTAATTTGGAAGCTATAAAGCTGTTAAGAGGCTTAAGAATCCTTTTTGTCAGCAAAAGAGGCCCAAGGTGTTGGTCAAAATCTTTGGAGTGAGAGCTAATGAGTTGGCTCCAGCTATTCTCTTCATATCATGTGCTGTACAAGTAGCCACTGAGATTTTGCTGAAAGATATTTCGGTATATAATTGCAAACTGAGCAGGAGATGATTTTATGAAGCTTATTAAGGAAATAATATTGCAGTCAAAATACCTAAACCCAAGGCCGTTTCTTTGAAAGTATGGCCTTCAGTGAATTAGGTTATTTCCATTTTGGTACCTAATTAAGTGTTTAATAAAGGTTTGAAATAAAGGGGAAAAGCAGAGTACTATGTAAGGAAAAAGAGTCTAATAAGTCTACAGAGAGCAGTAATTTTTTCAGGGTAGGCAGTAAAACACAGGTCACTTTCAGAAACAAGACATTCTGCACTGGGGAACTGACGTTCCACAGAAGCAGAGAACTTGAGAACATCACATCACTGGTTTTGCAAGATAAAGGGAAGTGGAAATTTCTGAATGAGGGTGGATTTTGACTGTGGCCATCTTTAGAAAACATGGCTTTCACATTGAGGAAAATATAGTCTTCAGTGTCACAGGAAGAATACTAGAGACTATAAACTTAATTGATTTGTAAAACTAGGTTGTCAGCATTTAGGGTAAATTAACCCAGTAAGCTACGACTACGCCTCTTTTTCTAAGGGAATCTAACATTCTCCAAACTTAATAAACTGAATCTGCAGCTTTGAAAATTCATCAATAACCCAACATGAGCTTTAGCACTGCCATTTAAAGCAAGAGAAGCAATATGTCAAATAAATAAGAGTGTAGGCTTTGGAAAGGCTGGGATTCCCTTCTCAGCACTACAGTATGATGTTAGGTAAATTACTTAGCATCGGTGATTGCTAAATTTCCTTAGCCCATTATCACAGTGGTTAAGAGTAGAGGCACCACCCTGCCTGGTATGACTCAGTGGATTAGGCGCCTTCCTGCAAACCAAAAGGTCGCCAGTTTGTTTCCCAATCCAGGTACAAGCCTGGGTTGCAGGACAAGGCCCCGTTTGGGGGCGTGCAAGAGGCAACCAGTTGTTTCTTTGGCACATCACACACTGATGTTTCTCTCCCTCTCTTCCTCCCTTCCCCACTCTCTCAAAAAATAAATAAAATCTTTTACAAAAAGAGTACACGCACCGATGCCAGGATTCAGATCCCAACTCTGTCACTTTCTAGTGATATCATTTTAGGGAAGCTATTAAACTCTCTATGACTCAGTTTCCTCATATGGAGGGAAAGACAAAAGTACTACATACATCATTGGATTGTCACATTCACTGAGCCCTGAATAAATATTAGCTGTGTCAGTTTTGGGGTTAGTAACCTCTAACTTAGAAGTACTGGATATATTTGCTGTCTTCCAAAAATTTGCAATCTGGTGATAAAGCTCAGGATTACACTTAGGAAAATAAAAGCAATATTAGGTTTTTATAAATAGGTGTGAAAGATTGTGATACAAAGGTTTTTTTAATTCAATTATTCCTTATTAAATGTCTACTGTTCACCAGGAAGGCACTAAACAATACTGAGGATACAACAGTGAACCCTGCAAGGTTCTTGTTCTTGAGAAGCTTACAATCTTGTGATAGAACAGATACTAGGAGGCCAAAAAACAGACGGAAATAAATGCTACAGTAGAGATTAGTACTAGGGGCTGTGGGAGCTCACAAGAAGGGTGTATGGCCTAGTTTTAGGAGGTCAGAAAAGGCTTGTGAGAAAAAGTAAAATACGGAGGGTCAAGGAGTTACTATTCTTGGCAGGTGAGACTCTGCAGAAGCCTAGAAGTGTAGACTACCACTGTGGCTGGTGAGCATTCAGGGTGGTGATTAAAAAGGCCAAAAAACAAAGAGGTAAGGACCCACCAACCAGGTTGTGGAGGCTCTGCAGTTTGGACTTTATCCTGAAGGCAGTGAGAAGCCAGACAAGAGTTCTAAGCAAGACAATGACAACGATCACTTATGTTTTAGTGAGATCACTCAGACCACAGTGTGGAAGGTCAGAGAAAGCCAAGACACAGTCAGAAGACCAGCAAGGAGGCTTTTGCATGATCTGCATAAAAGAGCAGAGTGGACCTGGACCCAAAACTGAGTCAGGCCACCTGGGTTTTAATCCTGCTCTGCCACTCAATAGCTATGTGACTTGATGCAAATTACAGTAGTTAATCACCCTATGTTCTGCTTAAATCGGAGATGATGATAAGCTTTACCTTAGAGGCTTGTTGTGAGGAGTAAAGCACTTAGAATACACCTGCTTAGCACATAGTAAGTGCTCCAAAAATGTAGGCACTGAGGCTGAAGAGAGGCAATCTAGGAAGAAGAATAAGCAAGACTGTGAGTAAGGGGAATGTCAGGAGCAAATAGGAGGAGCTAAGGAAGTTGGCTTCTGGTTTGGGAACTTAGGAGATGGAGGTGCCATTTACTGAGATAAGGAACAAGAAGAAAATCAGGTTTGGAGAAGGATGAAAAAATGCAGACAATGATGGATGGACTGCAACCAGAAGAGCATGGTGTTCGAGAAGCTAAAATAGGGAGAGTGTTTCAGGAAGGAAGGAGTGGTCGGCATTGCCACCAGGAAGGTCCAGTAAGAGAAGGGCTAGAATGAATCCATTGGTTTTAGCAACAAGAAGGCCATTGGTGGCTGTCAGGAAGAACTGTGGTGGTGGTGTAGCGGGAGGCAGGGTAGCTAAATGCATGGATCGTGGGAGGAAAAGGAGATGATGAAGGGAGTCCGAGAACAGACGTCTTCAAGAAGTTTAACTGACAAGGACTGGGAGTGACGGGAGGGATTAGGGATTATGAGCAAGGCTGACATTGGACCCAATAAACTGATTTAGCCTACTGGTGGGGTAGGATTTCTGAGTGGTTATATATCCATTCTAGTTGCTCTGTAGCCAGGGAGGGTAAGAAGTGGGGCTGATTTGGGGACAAATAATGGACTTGGCCTTACTGGCTTTGAATGTGACATACGGGAAAGGTATGCATGTTAGGAATGCCCAGCAAACAGTTTGATATGGAACTAATGGTGGGCCAACTGGACAGAAAATCAAAGTGAGCCCCAGGTGAGCGGATAACTTAAGGAGATCCTAGAATAAAGGCGGGCTGGCACAAAAAGGAGGCACAGAGGAGCTTTGGATCTGGCCTTAGCTTTCCTGAGCCCCATGAGAGCATGTGGACTCCATGAAGCAGGATGCGAGCAGGGTGGGAAATGGGTCTCAGAGGTAAGAAGAGACCAGGCCTCAAATCCGGTCTCCAGAGCGTAACAAGAGTATTTGCAATAAACAGGGAAGTTCAGGAGCCCAGGAGCCCTAAGCAAAGTTACTCAGCCTTTCTGAACCTGCCTACTTTCTTTTTCAGAGACTGCTTTTCCTTCTATCATCATCTCGGTTCCCAATGGCCATCTCTCCCATTCTGCACTGTTGTGTGGATTACTCTCTTCAAAACTTTATTTGCCCATCTTTTTTTATGGTTTGTTTCATCCCATCTCCTCTTAAGAGATATACTTTAAAGAATCTGTATGTCAGACCCTGATCGGTATGGCTCAGTGGGTTGGGCATCGTCATGCAAAGCAAAAAGGTCACTGGTTCCTCACTGGTTCCAGTCCCAGTCAGGTCACATGCCTGGGTTGTGGGCTCGGTCCCTGGGTAGGGCGTGTATGAGAGGCAGCCAATCGATGTTTCTTGCCCTCCCTTCCCCTCTCTCTGAAAAATAAAAATAAATTTTAGAAAATAAAGTTAATCGAGTGCCAGCCAGTGGACTGCAAGGTCACCAGTTCAATTCCCGGTCAGGGGACATGCCAGGGTTTCAGGCCAGGTCGTTGGTTGGGGATGTGTGAGAGGCAGTCAACTGATGTTTCTCTCTCACATGGATATTCCTCTCCCTCTTTCTCCTTCCCTTCCCTTCTCTCTGAAAGTAAATAGAATCTTTTTTAAAAAAGATAGAATCAATATGTCAGGAAATACTAATCTATTTTGTAATACATATTCTTCACAGTCTCTTATAGTCAAATGGGGAGAGATGAAAAAAAGAATTCCAAACAAGATGTCAGATTGTGGCTGGAAGGAAATGCAAGGACAAGAGAGAGCAACAGCATTATGAGGCCCAGCCCTGCGGCCGGCCTGCTGGCTGCCCCCCTCGCCCTGTGTGAGGCCCGGAAGTGAGCAGTGTCACGGGTGGCGTCACAGATAGACTCAGCTTGGCCCCAGGGTGGCCAGACCTCCAGTTCAATAATAGAAAATTAAGTACCAACTCTAAATACTCAGTGTGTTCTGTGAGTTCCCCAGTGATGTTTTCTACCTGGAGTTTTCTTCTACATTTACTTTAATGGCTCAATTGGAAGTCAGCCATCACTGCTAAGTGTTTCTGAGTTTCTATGCAGTATTGGCAGCAGCTTCCTTATCATTCTGACATTAGAAGTAAGAAACCTGCCCTGTTGCAGCCAGGCTGTTGCTGCCCAGGCAATGGTGGAGAATTTCCACTTTCTAGGATCTTGTCCTCTCCCACACTGAGTGGCCGAACCTTTTGTCACCTTCACCGGTCATCATATTTACGAGAAAGCCTCCCATTCCTAGACTGGCATTGCCATCAGCTGGTAACGTGCTTTCGTTCTGAGCTTCTGATTTCTTGGATAGAGTGGGAAAATCTCCAATAAACATGAGGTGGTTAATATGTGGAAAGCATGTAGGAAAATGTCTTGCACTTGTTAAGAGCTTCTGCTATTATTATGAATATTGTTGTAACTGCCACAATCTAGGACCAGAAGCTAGAGCCTAGCTAAACCTCTGATTTTGCTCTTACGCTAGTTCAGCAGATCCAAATGATCTGGAAATAAGCTTTATAGTACTTGGTTTTCTCTCAATTTTGTGACCATTGTCAGCTCAGAGAATCTTAAGAAGATTAAAATGTTGTCACTTGAGTATTTTGACTTGTTAGAGCTTTAACATCTCCTCTGCTGGATTCCTAAGAGACTCTAGTCCTGACCTGACACTAGGATGTATAATCCGGCAGACTCATCACACACATGGATGGGTGCTTGTTGGCCACTTGTTTATCTTCTTTGGAGAAATGTTTATTGTAGTCCTTATTTTTTTTAATTGGGTTGTTTGTCTTTATTGTTGAGTTGTAAGAGTTTCTTATATATTCTGTATACTAGATTTTTATCAGATATATGAGCTTTTTTCTCCCAGTCTGTGGGTTGTATTTTCACTTTCTTGATAGTCCTTTGATGCACAAAAGTTTTTAAATTTTTTTTAAGATTTTTATTTATTTATTTTTAAAGAGGGGAAGGGAGGGAGAAAGAGAGAGAGAGAAACATCAATGTGTGGTTGCATTTCACACACACACACACCCTCTCCCCGCCGCTGGGGACCTGGCTTGCAACCCAGGCATGTGCCCTACATGAGGAATTGAGCCACACCAGCCAGGGCCAAAAGTTTTTAATTTTGATGAAGTCTAACTTACCTGTTTTTCTTTGGTTGCTTGTACTTTTGGTGTCACATTTTGCATGTGTATATCCAGCTGTCCCAGCACTGTTTGTTTAAAGACCATCCTTTTCCCACTGAATGGTTTTGGTACCCTTGTGGAAAAATTGACCATAGATGTATGAATTTACTTCTGGACTGTTAGTTCTATTCCATTGATATCTGTGTTTATCCTAATACTAGCACTATACTGTTTTGATCACTGTAGCTTTGTGAATGCTTTACTTTTAGTACTCCAAATGTACTTCTGATTTGTAGTACATTTGTATGTTATTGTCTGTATTTTGTTCCTCCTTTTTTTTTTTTTTTGGAGCATGTACTTCCATGTGAACCATTTATGTAATCAATACCTGTATCATTTAAAATAACTACAAAGTGTTTGTTTTATTGCCTTACTGTGCTATACTTGGTTTTGTCAAGCTCTTACTTTACCCTGTTTTCTGGGTTGGTTTTTACTGTTCTAGATAACCCTGTTTCCACTGTGCCTTCTGAACCCAGACTCATGAGCTCTCAAGTGCCACCGCTGGATGTCAGAGAATGATGGCTGCTGTTGTTAGTGCTTCCTAGCCAGCACTCGAACTACTCCTGTCTGCCTCCGCTCAGACCCAATACCTCCTGCCAGTTGTGAATTAGACTTCTGAGGTAGGAGGCCTGCCAAGAAACCCTCGTTCTTGAATCAGAACTTTCCTGAGGTCAGGAGTGGTACCAGCCTTATAATCTGTATGCTTTTTTGTAAATTATTATCCCTGAGATGTCATATTGATTAGGAGACAACAGATCTGTGAGTAAAAGGGACAAGAGGGAAACTGTTCACAGTTTCAATGTGTTCTGAGCTCAAAGAATTCTGGATGAACAGAAATATTCATTTTTATCCCATAACAAATAGGGTCTTGATTGTAGTGGTTCTTGACCAAGTTGTTGATTATATATAAGCTTTTCCTATGGAAATTTTCAAACATATGCAAAAGTACAGAGAATGATATGATGAATTACTAGGTACCTGTCATCCAGCTTGTGGGACCATCGACATATGGCCGATCTTGTTTCACTTTCATCCCCAGTCACTCCCTCTCTGCATTGGATTATTTTGAACCAAAATCAGCATATTGACCAAGCTTTCAGTTTCACTTTTTTGGTTTCAAAAAAAACAAAATCAGTGTATCGACCAAGCTTTCAGTTTCAGTTTCAGTTTTTTATTGACCACACTTTCTAGTTTTACTGGAAGCTACTTCCCTTAGTTACCTAGGTGTGTGCTCCCATTTAGATTGCTTCTAGCAGTTTTATTGAACCCAACATGCATTCTCTGGCAGTTTTTTGTATTGGAAAAATCATGGGAATTTTCTGGCCTCAAACTGTTTTCTTTTGTTTCTCCCACTCCCAGAATCCAATGAACTTGTCACACACCTTCACTTTGATCCAAGTGCTTGGACCTCCACTCACCAATTCTCCAGTCCGTCAGCTCTGAATACTGTTTAAGTCCCTAACCTAATGTATGAATTACATTATGCAGTGTCTAGCCTGGCATGTCTTACATGCTTAGTAAAAAGTTGTTTGTGACTGAATGGATGAATTCTATTTGGCTTTCTATTCCTGAAAGGACCTGAACCTCACAATCAGCTATGTACTTGGTTCTGTGTATTTTAAATGGAGAGAAACTTATCTGAGCCTTTTGAGGAGTACTAGTAGCTTTTATGCTTGACCCTTTTGTCTAGCTGAAGAATCCGAATTTGTGTGGCTCCCCCTGCTGGTCCCTCCTGGGGAGTCACATACAGGTGCGTCTGGAGGCAAATGATTGGAGCCAGAGCCAAGTTCTGCGAAGGGACACTAGAACGTTGTTGTGGAATGCCCAAGCCAGTGCAGGCAGGTCTGAGGAGGAAGAGAGCAGCTTGTTGAGAACAGTTCTGGGAAGTGCAGCTTTCTGTATAAGGGACAGGGTACAAGGTGGCCCACTGCCAGCTCAAGTCAGGAGAGCAGGGCTAGGGCCTGCAGCGCTGGAAGACCACGAGTATCATGACCAAAGGGACCCATTATGTGATGTTCAGGTCTTAATATTGAAATAGAGATGAACTCCTTCTCCCCTTAAGACAAAGCTGTCTGGGGTCCGACATAGTCCCCATGCAGACCCAATGGCTACAGAGTTCTATTTTGGCCTCCGGTGAAAGTTAAGGCAAAGAAGGTGGTGAAGGTAGATGGGAGTGTCCCCAGGGTTGATGGCCCTATGTTATGTCCAGGATCCCATCTCCCTACTTTTAAGACCAGTAACAACTCTGTAGAACCCTGGATGAACGTTCTGCTGGGGCCTCCTCCCTACATCCTCTGTAAATGCAACAAATTCCCTACACCTACTTGCCCCCTAGATCACATTTCTAGTTGTTTATACATATTTGTCTTTTCCACAACACCCTGTTCCAGAAAGTGGGCTGTGGCATAAGGAGTCTCGCCAGATTCCAGCCAGCTGCAGGCATCTGGTTAAGGAGGGTTACAGGCGGTAAGACACGAAGGACAAATCCCCCTCCCTCCTCTCAAACCTCATACCCCAACTGCCAGTGTATTTCCCCTTCAAGTTGAACATGGAAAATAGGCTTGTGTGCCCTTTCAGGACTTAGAGGTAAGCACATGACTTCCTCTAGTACACAAGAAAGAGAACCCGCTCTAGAGGGGCCCCAGGGTGTGAAAATTGACATTGGACTTGGGCTGGTGTGACTATGAAACGATCATTATCAAGAAATGCTCGGAAGGAATTCATTTCTGCACTGGGTGTTGGGGCTGTGGCAGTGGGCGGAGTCCTGCATTCTAACGGGGAAGCGGGCTGTAAACAAATACCTATATAATCGGTCAGGGGTGCTTAGTTCTAAGAGGGAAGAAAGGGAAAAGGCATAGGGCAAGAGTGCATTGTTTTAGATCTGGTGGCCAGGGAAAACACTTCTGTCCGGGTAAAGGAGCAAGTCCTGTGATGATCTGGAGAAAGGGTGTTCCAGGCAGAGGACTAGGGAGTACACGGGTCCTGAGGCAGGAGCATGCTTGGCTTATGAGAGTAACAGGGAGGAGACCAACGTGGCTGGAGCTGGGTGAGTGACAGGGAGAGTGGCAGGAACGAGGTCAGAGAAGGAACAAGGGGCCAGATCCCATGGGGCCTTGTCCACCTGGGCAGGGGCTTCCGCTTCACTTTGAGTGAGATGTTTGGGGCCAAAAGTGACATGAACCAGCTAACATTTGAAAAGTCTTCCTCTGGCTGTAGTGATTACAGGGAGGCAAGGATGGAGAGGGGGACAGTTTCTAGACAGAGGCGACGTGGCTTGGATTGTGTAGATACAGTTTAGAAGAACAGCCAGCAGGGTCAGCTGGTGGATTGAATGTTGGGTCCGAAGAAAAATTCACCAGTTCTGTTTCTACAATGAAGTGAAATACCTATTTGATTTCCAAGTGGAGATACCCACTTCAAATAATAATAGACATTTGAAATAACAGGCTCCTCAAAAGAATATATAGCCAATAATGTTTACATAGTGCTTTACAGTTGACAGTGTTCCAACATAAGGAAGTTTGCTTTCTTTCCATTTTACAGATAAGGAAGGCTAAATTCAGGAAGGTTTGCACAAGAGAGCCAGTTTTTAAATGCTGACACACAGAGGAAGAAGTCTTGAAGAGTAGCAGCCAATCAACGGAGAAACGGCTGCTTCCTCAAGGCTGTCAGGTAGGAAGATCTGCACCCCTCGGCCCTGTTCCCAGCCCAGCCACAGAGAGGAGCGGTTGAGGAAGTGGTGGAGGACAGAACCCGTTTGTTCTCCCTCTCTCCGCTCAGACCTCTCTGTCCACGTCCAGGTTTAGCTTCCTGGGAACGGGGCAGGGCCAGACCTCTGAAGGGAAGCTTGAGATGAACATTTTAAAAATGAATATTTTTATTTGTGTAAACATTTAAAATGAATCTTAGATACCAAAAGGAGACTATTCTAATTCCTGAAGGTAGCTGAGAATCTATGGCATCCACCGTTAAGCTACAGAGTAAGGAAAAGGGATTTGACTTTGTCACTGAGGTCCACTATGGAGAACGATCAAAAAGCTCCACGTGTATAGAGGATGAGATGCCCCAACAAACCAGCTGCAATTGCATTTCCTTCCAGTCTGTTTTCCATGCATCTTTTAAACATTGTTCAGATCTTACCACCTAGGCAATTTTGTTTTTTTCACAGCCTGTTATTTTCTCATAACCACTTTTAATATAAACTTTGCCCCCAATGGTATTAAACATTTTTTGTAATCACTTTTAAATGGCTTTCTGTTAACCACATTTTACAGTTATCTTTGCGTATCAAGCTTTTAAAGATAACTCTTAGATAGCTTCCTTTAAGCAGAATTACTGGTTTGAAGGATATGAGCATTTTTAGACTCTTGATAAATTATAACAAATTATTTTCTTAAAAAGTTCTGCAGCCGTGACCAGGTAGGTCAGTTGTTTAGAACATCGTCCTGATACACCAAGGTTGTGGGTTTAATCCCCAGTCAGAGCCCATATAAGAATTAACCAATGAATGCATAAATAAGTGGAACAACAAATCAGTGTTTCTCTCTCTATCTCTCCCTCCCTCCAAATAATCAATCAGTAAAAAAAAATTTTTTTTTAAGTTCTGCCATCACAGTGACCATGCAGGCGGCAGGCACAGGCACCACCGCAGCCAGCGGCCGGGACGGCCAGGATGGCTACAGCAGGCCAGGCGGTGCAGGCGCAGCCGGCGGAGCCGCCGCACTCGTGGCCAGAAGGCTGGAAAACCGACCGCATGTATTCACCCTCAGTGTGCCTTTCCCGTCCCCCTTGGAGGCAGACATTGCCTATGGATCCCTGGCCCCGGATAAAGAACCCCACCGAGATGCAGTTCGGAAGGAGCTCACGGTGAGCGGCCGCGTCCTGGCGGTCTGCTGGAGAGCTGGAGATTCTCACCTCCTCCGAATTTCCATCATCAACTTTCTTGACCAGCTTTCTCTGGTAATGCAGACCATGTATCGATTTGGGCCCCCTCTTTCTCGCTGAACCTGGGCTAGGAAAAGGGGGCCTAGGCCCAACCTCGTATCCGACCCTAGGCAGTGGGCCCTCCCTACAGCAGTGATTCATTCCTGCAGGAGCTGCCACTTGGTTGCAGGGCCCTCACCTTTCGCCTGCACTGGCCCTGGGACACTTGTGGTCCACTTGTTGTGTTTAGTGAATAAACGATGGTGGTTATTATTATAATGAGAGTTGTTATTTAAAGATTTGTTATTTATTGTAAAAAAAAAAACAAAACAAAAAAACACTAAAACCTGGCTGTAGAATTCCTCTCCGGAAATTGTCTTTGTTCATTCACCCCCGCATTAGGTCAGTCGCCCAAACCAACCCCTCACGGTCTGCCTTGACCAGCTCTTCACAATCTGATTGCTGGCCAACTCTCCAGCCATTCTTACAGTCTGACATGGCCCTTTTCTCCCTCACTGACATGAAGGGCCGTGACACTTTCATCACCAGCTGGTATTTGGACTTCAAAGGCAGGCGTGCCTATGTCCTCCCTTCTCTGAGCCACCCTGCTTCCCCCATACCCAGCCCTGTGTGTCCAAGTCCTAAGCATGCTCCAGGGTCTTACTGTAATACCGCTACCTTCTCAGACCTGGCCAGCATTTCATCCTTCTTCAAATCATCGGAGCATTTATTCCCTTTCACCTTTCACGTTGTGTTCTCTCTTGTGGTACAGACATTTGTTTATGTGTATGTCCCACGTCCTGTCCTATTCTGTATGCATAAGTTCCTTGAGAGCTGGAATTGGGTGTCTCTTAGCACACAGTAGCGATTCGGAATACCTGTTGAATGAATGAGTGGCTGCTAAGTATCAAACACTATTCGAGATATTGGGGATACAGAGATGAATTACCTTTGTATGAACCCCATTTGCGTAGAAATCTGGTCTCTTACGTGGACACAGATGCATAAAAAGATGATGCAAAAGTAGCAATATGTGCAGAACAGGCAGATAGCACAGAGGAGGTCACACTGATGGAGTCCTGGGCTCCCCAGGCAGACAGTTCAGGACTCAAGTCTTGGCTCTGCCCCTTCCCAGTTATGTGCCATTGGCAGCAAGTTGACCTCTGTGAGCCTCAGTGAAAATAAAGTAGTACCTATCTCATAAGGTTGTGGATGTACCTAAGGGCCCTGGCACGTGTGTGACACCTAGGAGTGATATAATAAATGAAAGCTGTCTCCCTTCTGGGGGACAAGGGAAACAGTGTAGATGAGGAGCCATCTGAGCTGAGCTTTGAATAAGAATTCGTTAGATGAACCAAAGGCAGAGGAAACTACACGAATAAGCACACAGTTTCTCGTCATGCAAAGAAAAGCTTAAAAATAAAACATTGACATAGGTCCTGCCACTCCCGGAGCCTGTGCTCCTTAACGCGGACACCAAAGCTTACAGCAGGCCCAGGGCCCATGTTGTGACTCCAAACAGGAGGAAGTCAGGAGAGAAAGGCCCTTGAAGGAGGGAGGCAGATGTCAATAATCATGCAGTTCCCTTTTCAGTGCTGCCACAGGCTTTGACCTCGTCCTGGAACAGACTGGCCAGCGGTAGGGCAGCAGAGGTAGGGGAGGCAGCAGGCTTTCCCTGAAGCAAAAATTACTTCCCTGTGGTGCCCATCCGCAGCTATACAAAGCAGCTTTATTCAGAGGCGCCTACGTCCACACTGCCTTGTCCTCAAAGAAACTTGTTTTGTCAGGGTGGATTAGTCTCCTGGATAAATATTTGGCATTTGCTTTCGCAGCAGTTTAGTGAGAGGTGCAGATCCAGATATTAATTATTCTGTCCTCCTCCCCCGCCCCTCCCCCAGAGAGAACCCCTTTGCAGGGTGTAAGGGGCACCCTCCAGTCTTGCAGGGTCCAGAGGAGGGTCGGACAGGTGGCCGTGGGAGACGGGGAGAGACGTGTGGTGCGTGAGGACTAGAATTCTGGAGGCCCTGCTGCCGGGCACTCGGTGGCCTGGCGTGATTGTGTAAACTGGAGAACCACCAGCCTGCTCCCTCCAAGGGCACAGGACTTGTGACAACTTTAGGGTGAGTACTGAACGTTGTCATCCAACCTAAGAGAGGACATGACTATGGGATTTACCCCTGCAAGGAGCACTCAAGAGAACTGTGAAATTCTGAATTCACTGCCAAAACTGTCACCCTCTCTTTATCCCTGGAGCCCCCAAGTACAAGCCTGTCAGGAAAGCCAGAGCGCAGAGGTAGGTAAGCAGCCAGAAAGGACTAAGCGAACAATAACAGGATTCAGCCGCTGACCTCATTTGCCGTTTCCTCCAATCCTGTCTTCTGCCAGCTCCCTGCTGACCCTCTTGCCTCTGTCCTGCCCCCACCCTCAAAAAGAGGGTGAACTGGGCAGGCAGTTCTTGTTCTGAGCACGTTCGGCCCATCGTTGTGTGGGTTCCTTAGGACAGTCTTGGGTAGGGGACGTGGGATTGCACTCTGCGTGGATCAGTGGGTTGATCGGCGGACCAAGAAGCCATAGGCTCTGGGTGCGAGGTCGGTTTCACTCACATGGACCGTGAGCCCACGGCTGGCTGGGGCTGGAGTGCGGGGACATCCAAGGTCTGAACCCAGGGAAAGGCCTGAAGAAGCAGGGAGGGAAGCTGGTCACGTGCAGTGGTTGGCAAACTATGGCCTGGGGGCGCCAGACCCAGCCCGCCACCTGTGTTTGCCACCAGCCTCCGAGCCGAGCACGGTTTTTACATTTTTTTAATGGTTGAAAAAGTCGAAAGAAGAGGAGCATTTTCTAACATGTAAAAATTATGTGAAATTCAAATTTCAGTGTCCATCAATGAAGTTTTATGGGAACACAGCCCTGCCATCCATTTATTATTGTCCTTGGCTGGCTGCACGGCAGCAGAGCTGAGTAGCTGTGACGGAGACCATATGGCTCACGAAACTGAAAATGTCCACCTTCTGGCTCTTTGCAGAGAATGTTCGCTTATCCCTGCTCTTCATTTTTATGAGAGTAAATCTGGAGAAGGAGGTAAACTAAAAGGGAGCTTTTTGGGTGTTTCCTAATGTGCTTTACAGGTACCAGTCCATGTGACCCTCGCAGCAGCCCTATGAATAAGGACTCTAACCCTTGTTTTCCATGCTAGCAAACGAAGCGCCTGCACGGGGCCGCCCAGTTAGAAAGTGGGGGTGCTGTGGTGGGCCCCTGGCACTCTCTGAGACCACCATGAACCGGGGCACAGTGACGAGGACCTAGGGAAGGGGCAGAGGCAGCGCTGAGGCAGGCAAAGAAGGCGTGAACAGGATAAGACTCAAATGCACAGAGCTGTTGAGGAAGAGCCTCCAGGCGGAGGAGCCTCCAGGGGAAGGAGAGGCACTGGGAGTGGTTGGTACGTGCTGAGAGTGGGAGGAGCTGAGCCTGGGAACTACGGGTTGGACTGGCTCTGGTGTGACAGTTCTGCCTGGTGGTGCCTGGAACTCCGTCATTCAGTGAGGTCCAGGGAGGCTTGGGGCGAGGCGCACGTCCCCCCAGGCCAGTCCTGTGTGTGGGAGGCTGCTTGCTCACACCTGGTCTCTGGGCACTCCCTCTGGAACTGACCCGGACTTCTTCTGTGGTCGTTTTTTGCTACACTCCCAGGCCTTCATTGCGGGGGCCTGGCAGGGCAACCAGAGCCTCCCCTGCGCCAAGCATGGCATTGGGCACTTACACGTTGTGTGTGAAGGTACTATTTGTCACTGAGATCTTGGGAAGAAACATTCTGGAGTCAGGACAAACCAGAGTTTGAATTCTGGCTCTGCCACTATGTGACCTGGGGCAGGGGCAGGGTGAGCCTGTTTCATTTTTTTGTTTGCCCATCTGCAGGACGGGCATGGTGATAGAACCAACCTCACAGGTTGTGCTGAAAATTAGGCACAGAGAATGCTGGCTCATGGTGATGGTCTCCCTTAGTCTTCACAGCCCATTTCACTGGTGACGTAACTGAGGCTCAGAGGTTTGCTCTGGGTTGGCAGTGGCCAGATGGTGGAGCTGGGCAGCCAGAACTCAGGCTCTTTGCCCTTGACGGTGGCAAGCGAAGTCATTCCACCTCTGTGTACCCACATCCTACACAGCTTCCTTCCCCCATGGCCTCAAGGGTGCAGCGTATGATGGAGATGCGCGGAAGTCAGGGGTGCTGGGGACAAGCAGGGACACTTCCATGTGCTGCTCAGGCCTCTGGATAGCGCTTGGGAAGCAGCAGCAGTCTGCTTGCTTTGTTGTTCTCCTCCTGCCACGTGACCGATATCGCTTCCTAACTGTGGTCCCTACCTGTCCAGACACAACCAGGATCTAGAATGTCTTAAGTCTTTGGTGCAAGGCCAGATTCTTGGGTTTAATGCCCAGCAGCATGACCAGCTGGTAGATTCTATAGAGGTCACAGTCATTTGTCCACAGCGTCTCAGCATTCTAGAGTGGCTCTTTTCTCTGATGCTCACACTGAAGAGTCCAGGCCTTCCTCCTACACATTCCAGAGCCCAGCAATTGACCCAAATTTCATGTAGGTGGTCTAGAGGTTTGTTTTTGTTTGTTTGTTTTAGATGCGGTTCTGAACCTACCTTTAAACCAGAACAATGTAATTATTGGTATTAACGTGGGCCTAAATCACTTTGTGCTCCGTTTGTTCCTCCTGGCCCGCTTATTTTCCTCCTTTACCATTTTTTCCTACTTGTCTGGAGGTCAGTGCTGTTTCTATTAGTTTAGGGGTTTCCCTCTTGCCTGAGGTTTCTCAGGATGCCCCGACTGCTGTAAGTCTGCCTGTTCCCTCTCGCTCTGATTCCTGCTCCCTTACTTTCCCATTGTGCTTACTTCTTGCCTCTTCTTTGCTGCTCTCTTTCCCCCTTCTCTTCATGCATTCGCCACTAAGGCTGCCACAAACTTTTACTTAGCCCATAGGTAATGTGGGGTCGGGGGGATTCAAGTGGCTGAGCTTCTCAGAGCCCCTTGCCCATGAGGATTTGCAACCTGCCCATGTCCCTCCTTAGGTCTTAGCCGCTCCC